GAACAAGAAGCTACTAGGAGCAAGTGCATCGCTACTAGTAACAAGTGAAAGAGTCGCACAAACAGGGACGACACATGGCCGAGCAGCGCGAAAGAGTCGCAGCACCCGCAAAGAGCTCACGGAATTGCCCAGCAGAAAACCCAAATAGAATGGAGCCACGGCCTAAGGCGCAAGGAGCATCTGCACACAGGCGGTCCGGTTCGTTCTGGGGTTGCAAGCCTAGAAGTTGAAGTAGATAGTACTTATAGTACTTGTACTAGTACTTAAATGGTCTGTCAAAGCAAACGGTCTCGCTTCAGGCGGTGGGAAGGCCGTCTGCCAGGGCGCGAGGACGTCAATGATGTTCAAGGGCTTCCTGTCAAACCATACGTGGAATGAGCCACACTTCGTCTATGCATTCTGTGTTTTCTACATGAAAACTGCTAGGAATACCCAACAGCATTCCTCCAATGAACCATACCCTAAACCCTACCTACCCCACCTCCCGCTCTCAAACAAACCTAGAAGCGTGCGAGTGTGAGAAGTTCCTGGTGAAACCTCTTCTGTTTCTACTGCGGCATTCTGCGGTAGGTGCATTCAGCAGTCGCAAGATACCGCTCTGCTAGGCTTTGAAACAGATTGCGGCATGCTTCCACCGCTTGTGTAATTCCATTGGTTGTGTCTTTCTGCTTTTGTGAGCACCAAGCTCGGTCGCAAAACCTTCGAGGAACGAGCAAATTGAAATGTCTTCAAACAGTTGAACATCTACAGGTAAAATGCCGAATCCTTACGCTGTGCTCGTTCCGAACTCGCCTGGCATAACGAAGCATCCGGGACAACGGTGTGCTGCCGAGACTGGGCTCGGCGTGGCAGGTCAACAACCGCGCCAAATACTCCACAGTGAAGATGCAAATGCAAACCTCAATTTGCAGAACATGAAGTTTGTTTTTTAAGTACACCAAGTGCACACATGATTCTTTTTCGTTTTGGTCTTCCATGTGTGACGATTGTCCTCCCTTTTTTGCAGTGATCCATAATAGAGAGATGCAAAGAGCATCCTCAACACTAGCATATGCAAAGCCGCAATCTCCAAGTAGAAAAAGCTTTCATCTGGCACCTGATGCCAAATGGTCAAACATGATCAAAACATGTCAAGTAAATTCAAGTAACCAAACTCGCAAACATGGCACAAAGATGTGCAGTGTGTGAGATGAACATGAAAGGCTTACAGCGGCCCAATCAATTAAGCAAACAACACCTTGCTCGGACAATCTGGGATGATTCTGGGGCCACAATCACCCTACTTCGTGTTCGGCATTCGACGTGACAATACCTCCTCTCCACAAACATTACGGTGACTGTAGCACTGTTGCCTTTTCCATGCTTTGTGGCCTCCTTGCTTGCTCAGGCACGGGTTCGCAGGCCTTTTTGGTGATGGGCTTCCCAGCGAACAGCAGCGCGTCACAAAGTGCTGGTCGATATTGGAAGCTGGGCATCGACCTTTTTTGTCGCTCTGTGCGGCTCACGTTGAATGTTGCAGTCCATGTAGAAGCAATGGCCACCAACCTACTAGCGATGGCCTCCAACCTAGAAGCTCAATAGAGTTACTTGGAAACTCAGCCTTTTCCCAGATTAGTACAATGCCTGTGAGTCGTACAAAAGTGCTGCGAACAACAATTCCAACAGATATCGCCCTATGTAATTGTTGAGCAGGGTATGGCATAAAAGTAGCTACTGTGTTGCGGTCCCAGATCTCAACTTTTCTTTGGCTGGAATGTTCAACGCTTGCTTGGATCTTCACTATTCTTTATCACTGAGGTTACCAATTCTTGGCCATTAGCTCGTGCCAAAGCAATCCTTGAGCATCTAAAACACACGTCACGTGTGACCTCATGGAACATCTGGACCTGCATAGCAAGCTAGCAAAGCTAGTAGCAAAGCTAGATGCATAAGCAGTTTAGAGTCCGCAGCTGATCTTCCTCTCCGGCTTTGAGGGGGGTAGTGCAATTGCATTAGCGCAGTAGTGTGCAGTGGGAGTTTGTTTGCATTGGACGGGTCAAGCCAAACAGGTCGAGTGCGACGCTCTGCGAGGCGAAGCAAGCGGTCGAGATGCTCCAAGATGAAAGTGGTCGTGCTCAGCAAGATGGTGAGAAGAATGAAGCCGGAAATCACCTCAAAGGACCCTCTTCACATCTCATTTGTAACAAGTGCCTTACTAGTAGTAACAAGAAGCTATTAGTAACAAGTGCCTACTATTAGCCCCTAGATCTCATTTGTGCATCAGCTCAAACTCATCTCTCAGCCTTCCCCACAAGGAAATGATCTGCATCATCCAGCATCATAAAGACCCACCTGACACGGCTATTGCTGTTTCATTCTGATCGCTTTTGTCTAGTCTATTGGAGCACTTGGCCAGCTCACAAAATTGCCAGCGTTCTATGGCCAGCCGACATGGCGCAGCAGGGCAGCAGCGCCTGCACCAATCTGTGGTGGATGGCAGCCAAGCAGTTTGCTGTGACACTGGCACAGCTTGCACAGGTTGCCTTGGCGCTCACTATTTACATGTTTCGACAAACATATCTCGAACTATCTCGATATGCGCGGTGTTCGACCGGTTTGTTCAACGCCCGCAGATCATCGCAACTGGCCCTCCAGTGGTTGCGGCTCAGCGGCACAACATCCGGGGTCCCTCCAGTTTCACCAATGTCCTGTGCATCTTACGAAAGTGATACAGCTTAAACACATTTAAACACCCTACACCGTCCTATTTTCAACAATGCTGTTGGATCTGTTGGGAGATCCTTCCATCTACCTGGTTTACGTCAGCCGCTCAGCCACCCACCTATCAACTGGCGCTCTCCTAATGCCAAAGATAGGACCTATCATATATATTTCTCATTAATTCTCTTCCTCTCCTTCACTGGGGTCTTTGAAGAAGAGCTAGACAGGGCATCGCTGGAACCTTGCAGCTCAATGCTCAAACCGCTCTTCCAAACTTGTTGTGTTTTGCAGCTTTGGCGCAACTCTTGTGACTGGCAAGATTCTATACTTATATACCACTCTATCTCTCAGCTGCGAGGCTGTCATAGCATCTGCTGTAGTGGTCGCGTGCACCTAGATCAATCCCAACACCAGCATTTGAGCAATACGTGCGTTCCGACAAGCATGTCCTGGTAGATCTTCCAAAGATCGTACGAATGGGCATTGCTGGTATCTTCATGTAAGTGGAGGCCATCGCTATTAGGTTGGAGGCCACCGCTATTAGGTTGGAGGCCATCGCTATGAGAAACAAAAAGAGAAGGAAGACAGGTCTAATGTAGTTTGCTATTAGGTCATCTGCTCAAGACTTGAGACGGGATCGACCGTCAAAGGGCCAAGTGTGATCTGGTGAGGATGTGTTCGGTTGCGTTTGGCACCTTCTGGAGATGGGCTCCGCCTACTTCGAAGCAAGCTCTGCATCCGCAAGAAGGCCTGAAGCAATCGTCATTTCACTATATCATATAGTTACGTATCCCTAAAAATCTAGAAACCAAATCATTAGAAGCGTGAGCTATCCTCCGTCCAGTTCCTAGTAGCTTAAGTAAGCTACTAGCCATAGTAGCTAATTACCCCTAGCAGCTACTACTATCCCCTAACTCTTTGAGGTTTCTGTTGCTTTTTATGTCCTTTTGTTCAATTTTGTTTCTCTCCTCGGTCGCACCTCCTTGCGGAGCCTCTCATGTCGCCGCGACCAGTCCTCCAGGCCTCGAGTTCGAGTCGTTCGAGTCGGCATTCGAAAAAACGCGTCCAGATTTGGATGTATTTAACTTTTATTCTTTACAGTAATCAAAAAAAATGTATTCTTTAGTTTTCACTTTTTCAGTATCTTTTCAGCATTGGATCTTTCAGCTCTTTTTTGCTTGCTAAGCCTCGCTCCACTCGAAACCCAACCCTCCGCCCACACCATTGCCGAGGCTCGGTTCTGCTGCAAAGACCTGCTCAGAATCAACCAACAAAAAAGCAACGTGAAACGAGTCAAGGCAACGTTCAAGGGTTCCTTCGCTTGAGTTTGTTCGGGGAGTTTGTGCAGAATTGAAAGCTGAAATCTCATCTCCAAAGGCTCAAAACAGTTGAACACATTTGGCCCCTGCTTAGAGATCAGACTGGGGACGATGTTGTGTTAGAGAACCACTTGTTAATCTGCCTCAACCGAAACGAGGAAACGGGTCCCCAAGCCTGAAGGATGAGATGGACACCATGTCATCAGTTGTTGCATGTGTCCTTAGGCTTTCACTGTAAAATATGGGGAGATTTGTTGTAAAACACATCTACCTCCTACGCAGTGTGACACATGTCCTAGTTTAGGCCCAGTATCTCACACTCCACCGACTCCACCACCAGTGTCTCCAAGCAGTCACCCAGCTCCTGAAAAAACACAAGTTCACCACATCAAGGAGCTCAAAGCCGGACACCCTGTCCTCTTGGCTGGAGCTGCGATTTCCTCAGTAACCACTTCTAGTCGTTTTTTCTTTTCAAAAGTTGCATTTCCTCGAACAAGAACGCTACTAGGGGATCCAGGCATCGCTACTAGGAGCAAGAACGCTACTAGGGGCTCCAGGCATCGCTACTAGGAGCAAGAACGCTACTAGGGCTCCAGGCATCGCTACTAGGAGCAAGGACGCTACTAGGGGCTCCTGGCCTTACTAATAGGAGCAAGGACGCTACTAGGGGCTCCTGGCCTTACTGCTAGGAGCATGGACGCTACTAGGAGCAAAGTCATGAAGCCCAACTTGTCCCGTTTTTCCTTGGCGCCATTTGTCGCGCACGTCTGTTGCTGCCGATGTAGGCAGACTGGGTCTCGTCTCTCTGCACTCCAAATGGGCGCTGCAAGTACTTGGGGTCTGAGTGCTGTCAAAGGCAGCATGTTGAATAAGTGTAGGATCCCGGAACGGCATGTGTTTGAGACACACCTAAACTGGAGTATAAAAAAGAGTATTGTCTTAATCGAGTTGCGAGGCATGGTGTCGAACCATCTTTGAAACTCTCGGGTGGATTGAATTTTGAGGAGGCTGTGCCCCCCGTCTTTGAGATGAGAGACTTGGCCACAGCATGCTGAATACCTCAATAGCCACCGCTTTCCTCGAGTTTCACAGAGACGCTCTTGACTAGGCCACGAGGATGGTCCACGGTGTTGTTTCTCAAGATGCCCATCATGTAAGCAAGCAACCTGACAAACTTCTTGAAACAATGCAGTCGACTTCCGTTTTGCACTTTTGTTTGGCTTACTTTACAAATCAAAAGTCTGTGTTGAAGAAGGAAACTGGAGTGGCACCATGGCCAACAGTGGCATCAAATACTCGTGTGTCTCGGGCAAGGCGATGACATATTCACAGAGTTGTTCAAGCTCATCATTGTATTTCTCGGTGATGGCGATGGTGGCACCATTTCGAGCTTTCACTTCTTCAATGTTTGACTTGATTTTCTCGTACGTGGCATCTGCTCTAGGGCAAACGACAACCACAGGCATGAATTCATCAATCAAGGCAATTGGGCCATGCTTCATTTCTGCAGCAGGGTATCCTTCGGCATGAATGTATGCGAGCTCTTTGCATTTCATTGCGCCCTCTAAAGCCACAGGAAAGTTGCAACCACGCCCCAGGAAAATGAAGTTCCTTGTCTCCACAAGGCCAATCGCACCCACAAATCCAAATAGCATTTTATATTGTCCTACTCTTTTCCCTAGACTGAAGCCGCAAAGAAGGGGGACAAGTTCCGAATCAGTAGAGCAGCTGCGCAAGCACATTTTGACAACCGATGTCCCACAAAGGACACTCTCCAATACCGATGGGCTTGTCTGTAGATGTCTGCATCAAAGGTTTGGCTTCACGATCAAGGACCTCTTTCATACTCTCAGGTAGTTCCTGTAGGCGTTTCACCTCAGGTTGAAAATCCAAAGGCACAACTCAACATCAAATCAATAAATGTATATAATTAATGTATAGCGTGTGTATGCATTCATAGAGGGAGAGCCAATACCACCTGATTTGTCAACAAACTATGCTACATTGGTCTATGTCTAGTATTTGGATCTTGCGACTAAGCGCTGTCTTCTCTTCAGTATGTTTGAACAGGCTGTTCTAGCATTCAACGTTCTATGCGCCTCAACGTCCCCTGTAACGGCTTCTCTGTGCATGTGTTGCATTCTGTGTGTCATCACTTCACCAAGTCCATGTCTCCCATTAGGAACAACGGGCATCGCTACTAGGAGCAAGGACGCTACTAGGGTCTCCTGGCCTTACTACTAG